GCTCCAGGTGTCTATTTTATCTTCCATTGGTCGAGTAAATGTCGTACATATTATTTATAGAAAGCTAAAGTATGCAGGGAAGCACTGTGACAGCCAGAGATACAGGGAGGACATGCAATAATGAGGGCTGGCAGGCAGCTAGAGGGTTTAACTCTAGCTGCCTGCCAGCCCTTTCCTAAATCTAATAAATTTAGATTTAGGAAAGATCCGGGTAAATGCTGGTTCGATAACAGGGTTGTTGATTCGTGGCACAAATTATCACGTAACAAGGTAGCAATAGGATCCCTTGATTGTTTCAAGCGTACGTTAGACATGTATATGAGTGGGATTGGGTGGTTATAGATAGAAGCTGCCTTGTATGGGCCAATAGGCCTTCTGCAGGTACCTTTGTTCTTATGTTCTTAAAACACTTCAGACACATACATAACAAGAACATAAGAATGAAGGTAACTGCAGAAGGCCTATTGGCCCATACGAGGCAGCGCCTATTTATATCCACCCAATCTCTTTCATATATATGTCTAACCTACGCTTGAAACAATAAAGGGATCCTATTGCTACTATGTTACGTGGTAATTTGTGCCACGAATCAACAACCCTGTTACCGAACCACCATTTACCCGGATCTTTCCTAAATCTAAACTTATCCAATTCATACCCATTGTTTCGTGTTCTGTCTTGTGTGAATACTTGTAATACCCTATATTAATATCCCCTTTGTTATGTTCATTCACCCACTTGTACACTTCTATCATGTCGCCCCTAACTCTTCGCCTTTCCAGAGAATGTAATTTCAGCCTTGTTAATCTTTCTTCATATGACAGGTTTCTAATTTGTGGGATTAACTTAGTCATCCTACCCTAGACGCGTTCTAGTAAATTTATATCCATTCTATAGTACGGCGACCAAAACTGAACTGCATAATCTAAATGGGGCCTAACCAGAGCAAGATATAGCTGAAGAACCACACCAGGTGTCTTGTTACTAACGCTTCCATAAATGAATCCCAGTGTCCTATTTGCCTTATTGCGAACATTTATGCATTAATTTTTTGATTTGCCAGCAACTATACGAGTTGCCAGGATTCTGATTAGATCCGATCCTTCTTAAAGAGAGGCATGGAGAGGGGGTCGACTCCGATCCCCGTATGACACTCCCCATACAGTCATTATTCTCCATGAACATTTGCGAGAGACTAGCTCTCAGCATTTGACCTCATTTCTAGAACAGTCATTTTATTTTGATATAGATAAAACTAACCTAGCATGTATTTTCACTGTTCTGCTTTAAAACTTACAAACTATTGTGTCAGTATTTTCCAGCTGTTGTTGAGTGGGCAAGTGAATTATTGGTGTGATTATACATAGAGAGACGCGTTTGATATTCAATCCGGATAATGGAATCCGGATTAATGCTGGGTGCTGAAAATATCGGTTGTGTCTGCGTTTTAGCGATGGGAGTATACACATGTATGCTTGCAAATAATGACCAGACACATATAAGCAGACTTCCTTGTGAGTGAGCGTGGTATTATGACCTAAAGGGTTTGATATTATGGACGAATCGACTCTGTATTTCTTGCGTTATACTTTTCTTGGAAGGGAACTTGAAAAATTAATTCTCCAAAATTAATTTTCAACTTTCGACGGGTCTGACGTGGGTCACCAAGGGACAAGTTTTCGCTAAAGTATCCCTAAGAATCTCCAGAGGGAGAAAGATGTTGAAGAGTAAGTCTCCGTAGTAGCGGACGAGACAAGTGACAGAAAGTTCCTGTCAAGTTGGAACTAAGTTACTCTCCCACAAGCTGAGGCGAGGCAGGCAACACAAGAGTCATGCCAAGTTAGAGCTAAGTTACTCTCCCACAACTTCTGGCTAGGAAAAGGAAAGAACGACACTGAGAAAGTATGAAAGCACTGTTGTTGTTGTTGTTAAAGATTTAGCTATTCAGGACGGAGTGTCCATGTAGCACGGGCTATGGTGAGCCCCATGTAAGCACTGAACGCGTCAAGATATGAAAGGACGATGCATTAGTGACAGTTTGAAGCGTCGCACCATGACGCTTCCTTTAATATAGGATCAGTCTCGCTATGTTAAGTGGGAGGCTGCCGTGTTTAATACGCTTCAGGCACTGCAAAACCCCTTCAAATGTGACGCTGGTCAAACCAGTCTACTGAGTGACGACTCCTAGCACGACACATCACGGGAACAACACAGCCAAAAACCTGTTGATTGACGGTTGAGAGGCGGAACCAAAGAACCAGAGCTCAACCCCCGCAAGCACAATTAACATAAGAACAAAGGTAACTGCAGAAGGCCTATTGGCCCATACGAGGCAGCTCCTATCTATAACCACCCAATCCCACTCATATACTTGTCCAACCCGCGCTTGAAACAATTAGGTGAGTATAGCCAACAGAAGCTAAAGAGTCCTCAGGACCTGACGTCATCTCTGTCATGCTAGAGACGTCAAAATGACAGACAGACCCCACGTGATGTCTTTGGTTAAACGAGATTTCATATGTTTTTCCATATGACAATATCACGGTGATTCACAAAGATTACCATTTCCATGGTCTAGTCCAAAGCTTTGTCAAGCCCGGCCCCGAAACCTTTCTGAGTTACACCGACGAAAGAATTGCCTAAAACTTATCAACGTTCAACAGGAAGATAAACAGAACGCTTCCCTTCCCTTGAGAACCACAGCCTCGCCGATGGAGCCGGGCCTCAAGCCTCCATATTCAAAATCAAAAATCTTTCTCAGGGAGATTAAATTTAAAAAAAAAGGTTATCATATATGTCTTTCTCATTTCTGGAAGATGAAAAAACTTTGTGACTGTGGAAAGTTGATTTATTAGTCGGTGAACTGGAGGTGAGAGACAGAGGGAGGGAGACAGAGGGAGGGAGACAGAGGGAGGGAGACAGAGGGAGGGAGACAGAGGGAGGGAGACAGAGGGAGGGAGACAGAGGGAGGGAGACAGAGGGAGGGAGACAGAGGGAGGGAGACAGAGGGAGAGAGACAGAGGGAGGGAGACAGAGGGAGGAAGACAGAGGGAGGGAGACAGAGGGAGGGAGACAGAGGGAGGGAGACAGAGGGAGGGAGACAGAGGGAGAGAGACAGAGGGAGGGAGACAGAGGGAGGGAGACAGAGGGAGGGAGACAGAGGGAGGGAGACAGAGGGAGGGAGACAGAGACAGAGAGACAGGCAGAATTATTGTTAAGTGTAATTTAATGTGATTGTATATATTTGAAGATTTAAAATTAATAATTATATAAGGAAACTCGACCATAAGGGAAAAACGATATTTCGAGTTTTACCCAATTTTACCCTACACCCGTGGTGTAGTTGGTTAGACACTCGCCTGACGTGCTTTGTCATGGGTTCGTATCCTGGCTGGGGAGGATTTACTGGCCGTCAATCCTTAACGATTTGTTAAACGATTTGGCGGGTCGTATTCTGGGGAAGGGAAGAGAATTATCAGGGGGAAAGCGCCAAGCCATTACGACTATATAGCACTAGGAAGGGGTCAGGAAAAGGATTTAGGATGGGACGGGGGAAAGGAAAGGAATGGTGCCCAACCAATTGGACCGTCGGGAGATTGAACGCCGACCTGCATGAAGCGAGACCGCCGCTCTACCGTCCAGCCCAAGTGGCTGGGTATTCCGGGGGGAACATAGGATTAAGGACTTGCCCGAAACGCTATGCGTGCTACTGGCTGTACAACAATGAAAGAACCCTTATGTATATAAATAAATAAAATATGAAATACTCACTAACCCAACTTACGGGCTCACCATAGCCCGTGCTACATGGACACTTCGTCCTGAGTAGCTAAATCTTTAACAACAACAACAACAACTGTGTTATGCATTACAGCTCCGCTCCTGTGCCAGTCCACTACGGGCTCACCATAGTCCGTGCTACTTGGAACGTTTTGTTCCCAGTAGCTGAATCTTAAACAACAACAACTGTGTTATGCACCAGAGTAGGTGGTTCTGATGTGTTATACTTGATAACGGAAGGTTCTAATGTGCTATACATGATGATAGGCGGTTCTAATGTGTTATACATGATGATAGGCGGTTCTAATGTGCTATACATGATGATAGGCGGTTCTAATGTGTTATACATGATGATAGGGGGTTCAAATGTGCTATACATGATGATAAGCGGTTCTAATGTGCTATACATGATGATAGGCGGTTCTAATGTGCTATACATGATGACAGGCGGTTCTAATGTGCTATACATGATGATAGGCGGTTCTAATGTGTTATACATGATGATAGGCGGTTCTAATGTGCTATACATGATGACAGGCGGTTCTAATGTGCTATACATGATGATAGGCGGTTCTAATGTGTTATACATGATAGAAAGAGGCTCTAATATTGTATACATGCGGGAATGGGGGTACTGATGTTTTCCCACACACTCAAAATTCAACTGAGTGATCCACACTACATTCAGTTAATTATTATTATTATTTGAGACAAAGAATCTTGGATGGTTTAATGGTAGTGCCGCCCAGGCCACCGGTACTCACCCTCCACAGGTGTGTCAACAACTGGCACTACCAGCTATCTATTTACAGCTAGGTGATGAGAGGCATCAGGCACAAGGAAATGTGCCAAAACGCCTCCGTCCTCCGCAGGAATCGAATCCAACCGAACAATTCGGTTGTGAGCCGATTACTGATTAGAAGTATAAATGGATAGCTACGTTATCTTGAGTTGATTTCGGGGCTTTAGTGTCCCCGCGGCCCGGTCTTCGACCAGGCCTCCACCCCCAGGAAGCAGCCCGTGACAGCTAACACCCAGATACCTATTTTACTGCTAGGTAATAGGGGCATAGGGTGAAAGAAACTTTACCCATTGTTTCTCGCCGGCGCCTGGGATCGAACCCAGGACAACAGGATCACAAGTCCAGTGTGCTGTCCGCTTGGCAGACGGGCTCCCTCTGCCGGTATACACTAATACTAACAACAACTGCCTTAACCCATGGGGAATGAAGATACTGAAGGACCCAAAATGTTTTTTTTTCTGAATTATATAAACTCTCACGAAGCAGCAGGAATTTTGCGTAAGAAGTCCTTAAGCCAGAAAAAGTTTCTGGAGTAATACCGTCCCAGAAGATGACAAGGCCGCCAGGAATTAAAATCCGCAAAGATCGATTGTTTATAAATAGAGAGAGAAATGTTCGCTTAGAAATAGTTTTTATTACCCATTTTCTATTGTTTTCTTTCTCGTGATCAACAAAAAGAACGAAATGCTAAAAATGGCTAACTATAACATATTTATCCCGATGATTTGTGTATTATTAAACTGTATGTCTTAAGACCTAAAGAAGACTTAAGGAAGACCTTAAACATAAGATATATACATACACACAAGCTTCCTGTCCATTGACAAGCCGAATTATACAAAAATGACCATACTCTAGGGCGCCTGACAGCTGGGTGGACAGCGCTTCGGACTCGTAGTCCTTAGGTACCGGGTTCGATCCCCGGTGAAGGCGGAGACAAATGGGCAAAATGTTTCTTTCACCCTGATGCCACTGTTACCTAGCAGTAAATAAGTACCTGGGAGTTAGTCAGCTGTTACGGGCTGCTTCCTAGGGAGGTTATATCTTCTTGAGATGATTTCGAGGTTTTTTAGTGTCCCCGCGGCCCGGTCCTCGACCAGGCCTCCACCCCCAGGAATCAGCCCGTGACAGGTACCTATTTTACTGCTAGGTAACAGGGACATAGGGGATGTGTAACATCCCCTATGCCCCTGTTACCTATGCCCCTAGTGTAACAAAAAGGAGGCTTGGTCGAGGACCGGGCCGCGGGGACACTAAGCCCCAAAATTATCTCAAGATAACCTCTACAAAGAACACCTGCAGGTGAACACAACAATATGGACAACAATACCACAACACAACAACAATATGAACACAACAATATGAACAATATGTTCATTTAGCGAGAGTCTCTCTAAATGAACACCAAAACTCACCAGAACCAATTAAATCTTCCTCAATAAACTACACTGTGGAATTTAATATAAACTGGAGGAGCATCTAATAAATTCTGACATAGCAAAGATTTATTACTAGCAAGGCTTCCTCACTTGTTGCCCCCTTTTATCACACTTTTGACTATTCTACTTTATCACTGTTCGGTGCTCATCTCTGTCTGTTATTCTTGACACTGCAAAGGTTCTTCCTAATTTTCCTTCCTCTAAACTTAATTATTCATTCATACAATAATTCATAAATACATACATACATATGAGAGAGAGAGAGAGAGAGAGAGAGAGAGAGAGAGAGAGAGAGAGAGAGAGAGAGAGAGAGAGAGAGAGAGAGAGAGAGAGAGAGAGAGAGAGAGAGAGAGAGAGAGAGAGAGAGAGAGAGAGAGAGAGAGAGAGAGAGAGAGAGAGAGAGAGAGAGAGAGAGAGAGAGACTCATCTCCCCTCACTACCATGCACATAATTTAAATGCGTCCCCCCCCATAATATCCACCAGACAATATAAATCATATAAATGGTTCAGGGCAGCACACCGTCAACTCCTGCACACTCAAGGCCTCACAACACTCCATAAAACCATCGAAGCACTTGAGAATGAAGCACTTGAGAATGAAGCACTTGAGAATGAAGCACTTGAGAATGAAGCACTTGAGAATGCTTCCATATTTCCGTCTCGGGATAGAAAAGGATAAAAATGAACTTGAATTAAAAAGCTATTTGGTGCCACAATAGTAATACCAAATAGTTACCATATTAGTTACCAAATGATAGTAACAATGTATTCATTGTAACAATGTATTCATTGTAACAATGTATTCATTGTAACAATGTATTCATTGTAACAATGTATTCATTGTTACGGTGTTCTAAAATCAGCTGTTAACAGGCTATTATCGTCCAGGACGCGGCCGTCCTCACAGCTGAACTTGAAAACTTCATCCTAAAAGAATGTCTGAACAGAAAACGAGGAGAATAAATGGGGAGGTAAATGTAACAGCCCCATAAGTGCAATTATGTACTATGTATGACAGTCAGGAAATGTTCTTATTACACTTAGTATTAAACCGTACTGTCACTTCGGAGGATGGGTTGCATTAATTGGTGATCACAATGTTTTTTTGTTCTCAAATATACCTATTATTGAACAAATCCACAAGGGCCGTGACGAGGATTCGAACCTGCGTCCGGGAGCATCCCCAGACACTGCCTTAATCTGGATTTATTCATTTGAGGCATCACGTTAGTGTGATCTCTGTGTGTAATACTTATTATTATATAATGCAAATTGGTTGTATAGTTAGACCTTGGGTTGGCTTGGTTAGTTCTGGCTATGTTGATGTTTATTGGTTTCGACAGCAGGTGGGTGAAGCATTTAGAGAGGTGCGCCGCTAACAAGGGAAGTGAACGAGGCGTCGAGGATGTAATTACCGGAGATGTCAGACTGTCAGCCTCGCTACGATCCCGCCTGACGGTCATTCACGTTCACCGGACTGTCATTCACCTAAGCCTTTCACTTTCACTTTGCCTCAATTCACGTTCATTTGACTTTCGATTCATCTTCACCTGACCTCATTTCATTATGTTGTTGTTTTAGATTTAGCTACTCAGAACGAAGTGTCTATGTAGCACGGGCTATGGTGAGCCCGTAATTGAGTTCGATTATTCGCGATAACCTTGTTACTGTGATATTTGGGTCTATGTTTAAAATGGAGGTGGGGATTCCTCCATTTTTCCGGTTTATTTTTCGCTTCTGTTTTAGTGCACTGGTTTTAGTCTTGTTTTAATAACATTATCTTGGTGGCGGATGTAGTTGCAGAATGCTCACTAATGAGTCCCATTCCTCAACGGCTTTTCTAATCATTGTAGTCGCGGTGGAATGTGCATCCAATGCAGCTGCTGTCGTTGGATTAATGTTGAGTTTGATGCGCAGGGCTTCAGTAGCTTCACATTCCAGTAAGTAGTGCAATAGTGGCGCCTCTGCTTCTGTTCCACAGATATGACACTCTTTAACTATTGGGTTCATTACCTCCCAGCAGCACTTGTAACCAAGTCTGTGTATGGCTACTGCAATGTCTCTGGATATCTTTTTGCCAGGCTTGAAAGAGGAGTATCCGGTGGCTTGTTCGTACCATATCGCAGTGGATCTTCCTTCCGCTGCTTTGGCTCTGTGAATTTCATTATCACATGACCTACTTTTATATTCACTTGATCTAATAGCTTCCCTCCGTGACCTCATTTCACCTCCACCTCACCTCCATTCATTTCCTACTGACCTAGTATGTAAAATCCTCAGCAAAGGTGAAAAAGACCCCGTCCCCAGATCTCCAGTATCAGCTATTGATACAGCTATTGACTCCAAAGAGCCTCCACTTGCGGGCTCACCATAGCCCGTGCTACTTGGAACTTTTTGTTCCGAGTAGCTGAATCTAAAACATCAACAATAACAGGTGAAAAACAGTTTCTCCCAATCTAACAACCACTCGCAGTCTAACGACTACGACCAATTTAATAACCACGACCATGTCCAATCTAACGACCACCATAAGTCTAACGACCACCATAAGTCTAACGACCACCATAAGTCTAACGACCACCATAAGTCTAACGACCACCATAAGTCTAACGACCACGATGTTGAACATAAGAACAAAGGTAACTGCAGAAGGCCTATATTGGCCCCATACGAGGCCGCTCCTATCTATAACCACCCAATCCCCCTCATATACATGTCCAACCCACGCTTGAAACAATCCAGGGACCCCCACCTCCACCACGTTACGCGGTAATTGGTTCCCCCCAAATCAACAACCCTCTTACTGAACCAGTATTTACCCAAGTCTTTCCTAAATCTAAACTTATTCAATTTCAGGGTCATATTAATTAAGGAAATATTAAGGGTCGGCTGGAGTAGTTAGTTATTGGTACGGAAAGAAGAGAGTGCTAGAAAGAAGAGAGTGAAACCGAAGTTCAATAGAACTTCGGTTTCAATTATTTTAACCCTGTCGTAGCTCAGTCGATTAAGGTAGTGTCTGGGATGTTCCCGGACGCAGGTTCGAATCCTCGTCACGGCCCTTGTGGATTTGTTCAAAGAAGAGAGTGATTAGACACACTCAGGTTAACCTTACTGACAACCATCGTCTGATCTGTGCCCTTTATTCTGATTGTCACTTACGACGATCACCAAACAATCCAAAATACACTCAGAAATCACAATCGGGGGAGTAGAACAACTCACGAAACCCTCTCCAGGTATACTCCAGGTAAGGCAAACTCCGGCTGGACTAGCAAATACCAACAGGAGGACTGACAGCAAGAGACGGCCATGACAAC